ATTTGCATAAGGCATTGTCTGGTAGACCTCTACCAAGATTGTTTCAAATTATAGCCCTGGGGTCAAAAATCGGCCCTGCCGGGGTCTTGATTTTCCACTATATGTACATATAGTAAAAACTTAAAATACTTTATGGTAAAGACCCAAATAGCCTAGAGCTTAGATATTTTGCATAAGGCATTGCTGGTAGACTTGCTACCAAGATTGTTCAAATTATAGCCCTAGGGTCCAAAATCGGCCCCGCCCCGGGGGTCATTGATTTTCACTATATGTCATATAGTAAAACTTTAAATACCTACTTGTAAAGAGACCCAAAAGGCCTAGAGCATAAGGCATTGTGTTGTAGACCCTACCCAGATTGTTCAAATTATAGCCCTGGGTCAAAATCGGCCCTGCCCCGGGGGTCATTTGGTTTTCGTTTATATGTATATAGTAAAAACTTTAAAAAAATTTCTTCTAGCAATTGACAAATGCTTGAGGTTAGATATTTTGCATGAAACATTGTGTAGTGAACCCTAGCAAGATTGTTCAAATTATAGCCCTGGGGTCAAAATTGCCCCCGCCCGGGGGGGGCATTGATTTTCAATATATACATATAGTAAAAAATAAAAAAATCTTATTGTCTGTAGGTACAAGGTACAAGGCTTCAAAAACTTAAATTACCTTCTTGTAAATGCCCAAAAGGCCTAGAGCTTAGGTATTAATGCGGTGGCATAGCATTTTTCTCAAATGCAATCTTGTTTTGTTGTTGTTTTTTTTTGTCCTTTAAAATAGTCAGAAATATCTAAAACTTGCATTGCTGACATTTTACCAATTGATACAGTGATTGCAGAGTTTTGATTTGAGGTTTCAAAGGATCAGACTTCAATGTTTGATTAATTTACTGTTTCCCTCTTACAGGTGATTAAGGTATGTTAGTGCATTGTATATCTGGCTGGGGCAAGACACTAGTGTTTTATTTATACTTTACTGTTTCCATGTTTCAGATGATAAAGGTGTTTTAGTGCATTGTATATCTGGCTGGGACTGGACAATAGTGTTTTATTTATACTTTACTGTTTCCATGTTTCAGATGATTAAGGTATTTTAGTGCATTGTATATCTGGCTGGGACTGGACAATAGTGTTTTATTTATACTTTACTGTTTCCATGTTTCAGATGATAAAGGTGTTTTAGTGCATTGTATATCTGGCTGGGACTGGACCAATAGTGTTTTTATTTATACTTTACTGTTTCCTGTTTCAGGTGATTAAGGTATTTTAGTGCATTGTATATCTGGCTGGGACTGGACAATAGTGTTTTATTTTTACTTTACTGTTTCCATGTTTCAGGTGATAAAGGTATTTTAGTGCATTTTTATATCTGGCTGGGACTGGACAATAGTGTTTTATTTTATACTTTACTGTTTCCATGTTTCAGGTGATAAAGGTATTTTAGTGCATTGTATATCTGGCTGGGACTGGACAATAGTGTTTTATTTATACTTTACTGTTTCCATGTTTCAGGTGATTAAGGTATTTTAGTGCATTGTATATCTGGCTGGGACTGGACAATAGTGTTTTATTTATACTTTACTGTTTCCATGTTTCAGATGATTAAGGTATTTTAGTGCATTGTATATCTGGCTGGGACTGGACAATAGTGTTTTATTTATACTTTACTGTTTCCATGTTTCAGATGATAAAGGTGTTTTAGTGCATTGTATATCTGGCTGGGACTGGACAATAGTGTTTTATTTATACTTTACTGTTTCCATGTTTCAGGTGATTAAGGTATTTTAGTGCATTGTATATCTGGCTGGGACTGGACACTAGTGTTTTATTTATGTGTTACTGTTTCCATGTTTCAGGTGATAAAGGTGTTTTAGTGCATTGTATATCTGGCTGGGACCGGACACCAATGTTTGTTTCATTGTTAAGACTTTCTCTATGGGCTGATGGTGCAATACATAAATCTTTGACAGCCACAGAGATTGTATATCTTACATTAGCTTATGACTGGTACTTATTTGGGTGAGTGATTTATTTATTACATAATATGTTTTTGTGTCGCCTTGAAAAGGCGACATATAGGGATTACTTTTGTCGGCGTCGTTGTCGGCGTCCCCTAAAGCTTGTCAGGAGCATAACTCAGTCATTATAAGGCTGATTGACTTCAAACTTGGTATGCATGCTTCTTTCAATAACCCGAATGCAGTGCACAAGAATTAGTACTCTGCACTTCTTAAATTTTGAGTTATTGCCCTTTGTTAATTTTCATACTTTAATTTTGTCCAGGCCATTTCTCTTCAACTATAAAAGCTATGGACTTGAAACTTCATAGGATGATAGATCTCATTAAAAAGAAGTGCAGTGCACAAGAACCGATACTCTGCACTTCCTAATTTTTGAGTTATTGCCCTTTGTTATTTTTCATACTTTAATTTTGTCCGGGCCATTTCTCGTAATGTATGAAAGCCATGGACTTGAAACTTCATAGGATGATAGATCTTATTAAGAAGAAGTGAATTGCACAAGAACCGGTACTCTGCATTTCTTATTTTTTGAGTTATTGCCCTTTGTTAATTTTCATACTTTATTTTTTCCAGGTCATTTCTCCTAAAGTGTAAAAGCTATGGACATGAAACTTCATAGGATGATAGATCTCATTAAGAAAAAGTGCATTGTACAAGAACTGGTACTCTGCATTTCTTATTTTTGACTTATTACCCTTTATTAATTTTCATTCTTTATTTTTGTCCAGGCCATTTCTCATAAATTATAAAAGCTATGGACTTGAAACTTCATAGGATGATATATCTTATTGATAAGAAGTGCAGTGCAAAGAAACTGCTGCTCTGCACTTCTTATTTTTTGAGTTATTGCCCTTTGTTAATTTTCCTGTCCAGGCCACTTCTCCTAAACTATATTGTTCACACATCCGACTCACGTAGTTCTAGTTTTTTAGATACATTCATTAAACATTAAAGTAGATGGGTCTTCAGTGAGCACATTTTATCATAAGTATATCAAATATTGATAAAAACAGTAGAAACTCCTTAAAGACATTGCTTTAAAAAGAAATGTTGATAATGATTTTAGTGATTTAGTAAACAGTTATATGTTGAATAACAAGATTTTGTTCTTGAACATTTATATTATTTGCTATACAGTATTTTAATTTAAGATTGCTGCAAGATGATATGTAAAAGTGTTTTAGTTTTTAACAGTGTATTCCATGTTAATATTATTATTACATTTTTATATAAAGACATTTATTATTTTGATACATAATTTTGATTTGTTTGTAGGCACAATCTTTCAGACAGATTAAATAAAGGAGAGGAGGTCAGTAAATACTATTTATAGATAAGATATGCAGATATATTTTGAGATGGACTGTTTGAAGAGTAGTTTGCATTGCTGTCACATTTTGGTTAAGTTTCTGCATGCAAGTCGGTATTGAAGAGAATAGGTTGAAACTCCACACACATGTTTTCTGTGATTATCTAACAGGATGGGCACAAGTCCCATATCTCTGATTTACCTTTTAAGAGAGTTATGCCCCATTTCTTACTGTCAAACACTGAGAGTAGTCAAGCAAGCTGGCTTATGGACAGCTTTTGTTTAAATATTTGGATTATTAAACTGTATTGCTTTTCATGAACTCTTGATTGCTTATGTGATTGATGGCAATTTTCTACTTTAAAAAGAAAAACTTCCTTTCATTGTGTAAATTAACAAATGATTTACAGCACAAATCAAGTTTGGTCATAAGTTACAGCACCATTATTTGGGGCCCTTTCTCAACATACATGTATATTGTAACTTTTATTTTTGGAATCTAGACAAATAAAAGATTAGAATTGTTGTTTTTAAAGCATGATTAGCAGACAGTTACCTAATTTGAATTGAATACTACCATATACAAAGTTATAATGAACCTAGCATTCAATAACATGATATGTAAATGAAAAAATTATAGATACAAATGAGCTGCGCCATGACAAAACCAACATAGTGTGTTTGCAACCAGCATGGATCCAGACCAGCCTGCGCATCCGCGCAGTCTGATCAGGATCCATGCTGTTCGCTATCAGTCTCTCTACTTGTACCTGATCAGACTGCGCGGATGCACAGGCTGGTCTGGATCCATGCTGGTCACTAACGCACTATGTTGGTTTTGTCATGGTATTTGAATATGATTTATACTGATGTAACAAAAGCTCTGTGGTGACAATAGAACTATTGCAATTTTGTGGTAAAGGTGTTGAACAGGGATTTTAAAGGATGATCAATTAATTATAACTTTATTTTATATTTTCAGATATTATTTTTCTGTTTCTATTTCTTGTCTCATATTACATCAGAAGATTACTCTATTGATAACAAAAGGTAAGTGCTTTATAATTAATGGAAGGTAGAAGACAGTTTTTTTAATACGAAAATTCAGGGATTTTGGATTTTTTCATGTGAGGAAGCTATCCAGCTTGCTTACCGAATGTCGGTGGTTCTACTAAGGTGCCCCTTTGAGCCTGAAATAATGCACGGAAGGGCACCTGAGGTCTTCCTCCACAAGTAAAGCTGGAACACTGCCATATGACCTATACTGTGTTGGTGTGATGTAAAACTTAAACATACAAACAAAATAATGCAAAAATTAAATATTGATTTAATTTTAATTATAGGGACTTCACTGAGGTTTTTTGACATGATGGTACTGGAAATTTTTCTCTACATTAATGCTCCATTTGATTAAGGGTTAGACCAGTAACATGTGTGAAAATTTTCAGATAATTCACTTACACCGGTTTTTCAAAATGATTATTTGTATATTGAAAAATGACCTGAAATTTAAAAACGTTGCATCCCTTTTCACGCAAATCAGTCTACAAATGGAACAAAAAAATGATTTTCGATTTATTTCTGAGTATATTTCTTCTTTGTTATTGTATGTTTTTCTGTTAGAAGTGCCCCAGTTGTTCTATGTTACAAATTCATGTTTTGTTTTTGTTTTTAGGCTTTGTACCTAAGTAGAGCTTCTTTAATATTAATTGATATTGAAATACATAGTTGCCAGTCTTTATATAACAAAGATTGTGATGTTATAATTGCAATAATATGAGTTTTTTGTTCTAACTTGTGTATAGACTGATTATGTAAATTTTTAGTTAATTACTAGCATTTTTGTTGAAATGTTCAGGGATATTTAAGTATTTATCTATTGCTGGTGTTGAACATTACACTGTTAAATATACACTGTAAGTGGTTAATTTTTCGACATTGAAATATTTGCAATTTTTTGGAATTGAAATTACTCTCAAATATTTAATGATTTTAATCGCGCAGAAATTATCTCTTTTTAGGCAAACTTTCTTCAATCATTTGAAAACACGATTTCATACAGCATCTTACATGAATAAGTTTGACTGTTCAGGCTCTGAGAATAATTTTCCTCACTGCTTGTTTGTTTCAGTTTGGTCTTAACAAATCACAAATATTTAATGAAACAATATATGTGTTAATAACACAATGGGTTATTCATATAACAAAGGAATGTTTTAAAATATGACAAAGAAATGTGTAATCTGGTCCTTTATCAAACTTACAATGTATATTTCAAACAATTATATAAATAATAAAGGTATTAAACAACTGAATAGAACGATAACAATAACGTTATATTCTTAACATGTACCTGCTTTATTATTATTTTTGCAAATTTTTCTGCAGCAAAAAATCCACTTTTTGACATTCGCAAAATTTTTGTGATACATAAATAATATACAAATGTACGAGGGTTGTCCAAAAAATTCTTGCACTGCAGTTATTGTCGTGAGAGTTATTAATAAAAACAAATGAATTATATATCACTTGAAGAAGAAATCTGTCTCGAATAAGAAAACAAAAGAAAAAGCCGAGTAACTGGCGTGTTGTGTAAAAGAATGGTCATTGAGTTACCTTAGTAACGTAATACCGACGCAAGACAAAAAATTGGGTTAGTTCATCATTGTAATTGTATTGCTTGTTGCTTTACTTGTAAATATAAAGTGGTATTTGCTTTTTATGTTAAAATTTGTTTTACTGTCAATACAGGAATGATTGATGAAAAGTGTTGTGTAGTTTTTATTGTTTTTTATGCAACGTACATGCAGCATATTCCACCAGTGCAGGATTATATTGGACAACCCTTGTCACATGCGCCGGCATTACGGATTGACATCTGCCTGACTGGTTGTCATCGTCTACCGACTCTCTTTTTCTTCCACAGAGCATTTAAAAAACCAGCCTTCGTGACAATGAACTTGTCCCGCTTGCCCTTTTAAGTTCTTTGTAGATATCTGTTGGTGTTTTACCAATATTTGCACCAAATTTAATGATCATCCGTATTTCCAGACGTTTAGCGACTGACATATTTACGTAATTACAGTATTGACGACCGCACACAAATGGTTCTTTACGACAGTTACAATAGGGCAAATGACGACATATTTTCTAGTGACTTTAGGAATATGTACACACACTTTTCCCTGAATTTTTACGTTAATATGTAGTGTTTAAAGAATACAGTGATACATCAAACTCAATTTTTTGTCGTGCGCCCATATACATTTACCAAGGTAACTGTATGACAATTCGTTTTCAGGACATGCCGGTTACATGTTTTTTAGCTCGACTATTCGATAAGAATAAGTAGAGCTATTGTTGTCACCCGAGCGTCAGCGTTGTAACCACTTATGTTAAAAGTTTTTGTAATACCTCAAATATTTTCAAAGTCCATTGACATATGGCTTTGAAACTTTGCACACTTGTTCACCATCATGACCCCAACCTGTAGACAGGAGGAGGTAACTCTATCAAGCATTTTGACAGAATTATGCCCCTTCTTCGACTTAGAATTTTCGTTAAAGTTTTTGTAATACCTCAAATATTTTCAAAGTCCATTGACATATGGCTTTGAAACTTTGCACACTTGTTCACCATCATGATCCCAACCTGTAGACAGGAGGAGGTAACTCTATCAAGCATTTTGACAGAATTATGCCCCTTTTTCGACTTAGAATTTACGTTAAAGTTTTTGTAATACCTCAAATATTTTCAAAGTCCATTGACATATGGCTTTGAAACTTTGCACACTTGTTCACCATCATGATCCCAACTTGTAGACAGGAGGAGGTAACTCTATCAAGCATTTTGACAGAATTATGCCCCTTTTTCGACTTAGAATTTACGTTAAAGTTTTTGTAATACCTCAAATATTTTCAAAGTCCATTGACATATGGCTTTGAAACTTTGCACACTTGTTAACCATTATGACCCCAACCTGTAAACAGGAGGAGGTAACTCTATCAAGCATTTTGACAGAATTATGCCCCTTTTTTGACTTAGAATTTACGTTAAAGTTTTGTAATACCTCAAATATTTTCAAAGTCCATTGACATATGGCTTTGAAACTTTGCACACTTGTTCACCATCATGACCCCAACCTGTAAACAGGAGGAGGTAACTCTATCAAGCATTTTGACAGAATTATGCCCCTTTTTCGACTTAGTATTTACGTTAAAGTTTTTGTAATACCTCAAATATTTTCAAAGTCCATTGACATATGGCTTTGAAACTTTGCACACTTGTCCACCATCATGATCCAAACCTGTAGACAGGAGGAGGTAACTCTATCAAGCATTTTGACAGAATTATGCCCCTTTTTTGACTTAAAATATATGTTAAAGTTTTTGTAATACCTCAAATATTTTCAAAGTCCATTGCCAAATGGCTTTGAAACTTTGCACACTTGTTCAACATCATGATCCCAACCTGTAGACAGGAGGAGGTAACTCTATCAAGCATTATGACAGAATTATGCCCCTTTTTCGACTTAGAATTTACGTTAAAGTTTTTGTAATACCTCAAATATTTTCAAAGTTCATTGACATAAGGCTTTGAAACATGTTGAAATTTTATAAGCATGATAGGACTCTCTCCAATGCCTGTAACTGTAATATGGATTTAAAGAAGAATTTTGCCTTTTTCTTTACTAAGAAAATTTTACCTTTTAAACAAGGCTTTTTTTACTATCAAGCACTAAGAATAGTCAAGCACTGCTGTCCTACCGACAGCTCTTGTTTCTTTTGTTTTCTTATTTAAGATATATCTCCCCTTCAAGTGATATATAATTAATGTTTTTCTATCAATAACTCACACGACAATAACTGCAGTGCACGAATTTTTTGGACAACCCTCGTATTATACAGTAATCAATACATGAAAATGAAGACAGTGTTGCAGTCAAGTCCTTGTGGTTTAATCCACCTGATCATGTTTACTTTTATATCATCATTATTTACCTTTTATCATGCATGCTTTGTATAATGGACTTGTGTAGGTTTTAATTTAGAACAGTGCATTGGTATTTGGAGGGATTTTAATATAGTAATACTAATATTAATCAGTGAACAGAATTGAGTCTGTAAGATGGTATTAAAGCGCAGGCTGGTTTGACTCCGTAGGGATGGCATAGGCAAGCTGCATTCAGATAGTCAAAGCACTAAAAAGTCAATAAATAGTTTTATATTGTCAATTGCCGTAACCTGTTTTTATAACTTTGAAACATTGCTGCATATAATTCAAGTTTTTGTTTACAAAAATTTAAGAAATAGGCTTTTATCTTTTTATATCTGAGATATTTGTTTAATTTCAGGTCTTCCAAAGTACATAGCTCTTTATCAGACACAAATGGGGTCATTAAAGCACCAGGTGTGTACTTTTTCCATACTTTATTTATGGGAGCCTCATAGCATAATTTTTTCATTGGGGCCTGTGTAGCAATGCAGTTTATGTATTGCTTGTCACTCGCAAGCAGCCTAGAAGGACATCACATTACATATGAGCCGCGTCATGACAAAACCAACATAGTGCGTTTGCGACCAGCATGGATCCAGACCAGCCTGCGCATCCTCGCAGTCTGATCAGGATCCATGCTGTTCGCTATCAGTTACTCTACTTGTAATAGGGTTGGTAAGTGAACAGCATGGATCCTGATCAGACTGTGCTAATGCGCAGGCTGGTTTGGAGCCATGCTGGTCGCAAACCCATTATATTGGTTTTGTCATGATGCGGCTCATATTTTCTTGTGGGGAAGCTATTTAGCCATCTTAAAAAAAATAAGGGAGTTTAACATAGTCCATAATGTTTATTGAAGGCTGCATTACTGCATAAACTGGCACCTAGAATCATGCATTATATGTGCAACAATAACTATATAACTTACAACTCAACAAAGGTAATAAAAATAATAAAAAATATTTTACTAATCTATAAGCATCAGTTGCATGGAGCTTTAAAGGTCACCTCTCAGTGTACAGAGAGATAATTATGTGAGATCTCTCTACCTAGATTTATAAAAAAAGGAAATAAATGAGCTGTTTTCACTAAAAACTTCTTATTTTATTTCAGAAACATATTCAAGTGGCCTAAGAAGACATTTAAATAACAGTACAAGTAGTCTAGGCAGCGTGGGAGGGTGTCCGAGGAAGTTGAGCTCCAGTAGCACCAGCAGTAACGGTGCTGGCGTAGTAGATTCAAACCATCCACTGTTCTACATCAATGGTGAAGATGAAGTAGTTGTTTCAAATGGCAACCATGGTGATGTATTGAGGTAAATGATATCTTCAACCTCCATGGCTAGCTGGCATCAATTAATATCATTTAATCTTATTGGCTATTTTTATTATTATACTGAAAAGGGTGAAGCCAAATTTATCATTTTCTCCCTTACATTGAAAGCATTTTCAAATATCCAACTACATGGGAACAGGTTTTTTAGGCATATACCTTAAGTTCAGTTTTTTATGCTCCCCGGGGAGCATATAGTTGCCGGGTTGTCCGTCAGTCTGTCCGTATGTACCCGAATTTGTGTCCGGCCCATAACTTTGTTATTTGAAGTCGAATTTTACAACTATTTCACAGAAACGATCTCCATATTGAGACAACGTGTTGCGCGCATCATATTGGTTGCTACCTTGAAGGTCAAGGTCACAGCATGACCTTGCAGCAAAATCGTGTCCGGCCCATAACTTCGTTATTATAAGTCGAATTTTACAACTATTTCACAGAAATGTTCACCATATTGAGGCGATGTGTCACGCGCAACATTTGGATCGCTACCTTGAAGGTCAAGGTCACAGCATGACCTTGCAGCAAAATTGTGTCTGGCCAATAACTTCGTTATTTGAAGTCGAATTTTACAACTATTTCACAGAAATGATGACCATATTAAGACGACATGTCGCGCACAACATTTGGGTCGCTACCTTGAAGGTCAAGGTCACAGCAAGACCTTGCAACAAAATCGTGTCCGACCCTTAACTTCTTTATTTGAAGTTGGATTTTACAACTATTTCACAGAAATGATCTCCATATTGAGACAACATGTCGCGCACAACATTTGGGTCGCTACCTTGAAGGTCAAGATCACAGCATGACCTTGAAGCAAAATTGTGTCCGGCCCATAACTTTGTTATTCGAAGTCGGATTTTACAACTATTTCACAGAAATGATCAACATATAGACATAGACGATGTGTTGTGCGCAAGTCGGTAGATAGAAGTGCAGTGCAAAGAACAGTAACTCTGCATTGCCTTAGTTTTGAATAATCACACTTTGAACTTTGTCTTGGACTACAAAAGATATACTTTTCTGTGTCCAAAACTTAGTCAGGGAGCATCACCCAGTTCAACCGGCTCTTGTTTTATACTGCTGAAAGCACTCTCTTAGTATACAAAATCAATTAAAATAATCCTAAATTCAGGGTTTTCAGGTTTTCAGAAAGTTTGAACTTAAAAACCATATCACTTTTATTGCACAATATTAGATGTAAGGGAGAAAAGTTCACATGTCATTCAGCTAAAATGTTTGATTCAAGTATTTAAAGCTTACAGTTTCATATAAACACCAAAATGTTTGATGCAGAAAAATATTTCTTGAAAACATGCTCTGTTTATCATTTTGAATAACTTTATATTTTGTTGTTATAGTGCATATTGTATTAAAAAAACAACTTATCAATATGTTTATACAAATTTTATCCTCTTTATTGGCTACAGCCAGTCAGAAGGAGGCTATCCTAGTGCCAGTGGTTCTCGGCTTCAGACGGGTTTGTCATGTAATAGATCATCTAGTCCTATAACAATGCAGTCAAACAGGGGTAGACAACCTAGTATATCAGAATCACCAACTTGCGGAAGGTAAATTATTTCTGTTTAGAATGTTCTTTGAAACGGAATACTTATAACATACTTATAGAAAAATTAGGATAATGAATAATTTAGACCATTTTTTATACAATGAACTTTTAAGGTCTATTTCTACCGTCATTCCATAACCTTTTCTCCACTAGTCTTATGAAATGATTTGACCTTTGATTTGTTCATTGTTTATTGTTAAGTAAGAGTTTTCAAGATCAAAGTACTTTAATTTAATTGGCAACAGGGAAGAGTAAGGTCACCTGACTCTTTCTTTATATCATAGGAAGACATTATAGCTGCCAATACAAGTTCCCGACGTCTAACGCACACACCTCTATCCTACCCCTATATATATACAATAAACATAATTATGTATAAAGGTATAAAGGGGGATATTTTAGGCAGGCACCTGTTGCTGCTATCATCACTAAAATAACACCTGGTAGAAACATTGACATCATACTACATGTATATTATCGTCTCATTAAACTTCCACTTAACTGACTGATCCAAAATATGGTGAACATCAAGTGAAGAAGTTATAATTACCTTATGGTCTGTCTAATAACGTAGCCAGGAATTGAGGCAAACATCCTTTCCAAACAATACCTTTTCTATGATCTATAGTTATAATACACAAGTTTATTACAACAGCAAATTAATGTTTGCCTTAATTTTTTGACCAATGAGAATGACTTAATTTTTAACAGTCTATTTTACAGAAACCGCCATCAATAACATTTATTTAACAGTTCATTTAAACGTTGTATCTGTCTGGATAAGCACTATGCTCGCCTTCAAAAAGTTGGTCAATGAGTTAGACGCTAATAAGAAAAAGAATAAAAGTCTATAACAGCTACAGTTGCTTGCTTATCGCTGCTTTTGAGCTGTTTAATTTTTTCTTAACAAGAGTTAACTATTACATATCTGTCAGCTTTCTGATAACATAAGAATAGTATGAGAATTATTTGAACCCTGTCACAACAAAACCAACATAGTGCGTTTGACATCAGCAAGGATCCAGACCAGTCTGAGCATCCGTGCAGTCTGATCAGGATTCATGCTGTTCGCTGTCAGTTTCTCCACTTGTAATAGAGTTGGTAAGCGAACAGCATGGATCCTGATCAGACTGCGCGGATGCGCAGGCTGGTCTTGATCCATGCTGGTCGCAAACCCACTATGTTGGTATTGTCATGACGCGGCTCATTTGAATGATGATTGTGTATGTTACAGTTGGCAGGTAATATCTGGTACCGGAAGTCCTATATCCACAGAATGTCAGGCTACAACATCGCAGGGATCCAGTAGAATAGGATCGTAAGTTAATTTATTACTTCTGGGTAGAAATTTTTATTATTTTATGTTATAAAATATTTCATAAAGAGTGCTTGAAGAGAAGTGTTATTTGTATATAACATAGTGTAAGGAAAAAGAAGATTAATATGTGGTTTAGAAAATAAGCCGCAAACTCGTTGATAAGGACAGGTTTAACCCCTCGATATGTTTGGAGGTTGATAAACTTTGTGAAATAGATTGTTAGTATTTTTATATTGTTTTTTTCAGCCTAAGTATTTTAAATTGCTGGCTTACACCATAAGTTACATTGCATGTTCTTGAAGTCATGCTTGACACTATATCATTGGCTGTTTCATATGTGAATCATTATTTCTGTAATTTTTAATGATTTATTTAGGCATTTCATTGCACACATGGAGTACATTTTTTTATCATATTCACCTTTCAAACATGTAATATACTGTGAAAAAGAAAGAAAAATACTAACATTGTTATGTCATGTAAAATTTGTTCCTTTATATGATGAATAAAATATGTTAAAACCAAATATTTTCGGTTAACTTGTTTTTATGGAGATATGAAAGTAAGGTATTAATTATTATTCATTATTTTGACAGATGTGAGGAAGCAACAGAAACTCAGGTGTCAGAGAGGTGGGGTAAACTGGACGCTGTGAGACGTATATTTAACAATGCATATCATCACAAAATAACTACAAAATTTAAACCTGATACAGGACTTATGAACCAAATATCAGAAAAGTTTGGTTTTAAACAAGTGAAAGGGTACTTTTGAATTGTTTTGTTTTGTGAAAACCTGTGATTTTAAAACCATAGACGGGAGAATGTGGATTACAGCATGTTCTTGCCCCCACTTTATTTTCTATTGGCAGGGAAAGAAAAATTAAGGCATTTATATAATAGCCTTTAAATAGGCAATATAGGTACACACAGGGAAAGAAATTAAGGCATTTATAAAATAGCCTTTAAATGGGCAATATAGGTACACACAGGGAAAAAAATTAAGGCATTTATAAAATAGCCTTTAAATGGGCAATATAGGTACACACAGGGAAAAAAATTAAGGCATTTATAAAATAGCCTTTAAATAGGCAATATAGGTACACACAGGGAAAAAAATTAAGGCATTTATAAAATAGCCTTTAAATGGGCAATATAGGTACACACAGGGAAAAAAATTAAGGCATTTATAGACAATATAGGAACAATGATTTTTACAAGACAGACTTGAAATCTTTTGAGTGGATTCTTGTATAGATTTAGAACATCTGCATTATTGGAGCAGAGAGATTCTGTGACTGACACATTTATTCTTTGATAGTGGTCATAATAATTATGATAGTGGTCATAATATTTATCATCATTGTCTTCATTGACTAGATCTAGTGGCTTTTTTTTTTAGACTAAGTATTTTTTTTTACATCCTTTCAAAAAATGTATAACAAAACAGTGTATGTAGGTCATGAAATTTTTTTGCAAAGGAAGTTGAGCTCCAGTAGCACAAGCAGTAATGGTGGTGGCGTAATAGATTCGAACCATCCACTGTTCTACATCAGTGGTGAAGATGAAGTAGTTGTTTCAAATGGCAACCATGCTGATGTACTTAGGTAAATGATAAAGCCTTAATGGGTAACTGGAAATTGTCTAATTTTATCAAAATATCAAATAATATTGGAAATATTTTATATGAATTGTTAATTATGAAAAGGAAGAAGATTGAAAGAAGAAAACTTCGTAGGGGTGGGCTCCAAAATCAACAGTAACTGAATCAAGACATAATAAGTTTCCATGACATATTTGAGCCAGCGTCACGACAAAACCAACTTAGTGCATTTGCGACCAGCATGGATCCAGACCAGCCTGCGCATCCGCGCAGTCTGATCAGGATCCATGCTGTTCGCTGTCAGTTTCTCCACTTGTAATAGAGTTGGTAAGCGAACAGCATGGATCCTGATCAGACTGCGTGGATGCGAAGGCTGGTCTGGATCCATGCTTGTCGCAAACGCACTAAGTTGGTTTTGTCGTGACGCAGCTCAATAAGTTTCCATGACATATTTTTATTTCTCAGTTTGATGTTTAATTATCTGGATCAGTATTATTTTATTGATAAGATATTCTTTATGTTTGTTATCATGTTTTGTCTTTGTGTTCTCCACATTTGATGAACAAGAACTTATTATTACAAGCTGTTTTAATTTTTTTATCACATTGTAATAAAGCCATTTAATAAAAATGATATTTAACTATAGTGTTATAACACTTTGACATGACGTCATTTGCGTTATATAAAAACATAGCGTTCAAAATTGCTAATGTTAGTGTTACACTGTAGGCGTGTCAATGAAAAATGGCACTTTTTTAACCATAAATTGTTCTTATTTTGGATATGTGATGAATAGAACATTATATTCATGTCGATTCAATATTAAATTTGTTGAACTCATTGAAAAAAACAATATTATCACAAACCCATGCCGATTTTGCGACTCCCTAAATATGGAATTGCACGGCCGTGCATATATTTTGACATGACATCATTAGCGTTATACAAACATAGTGTAAAGACGCGCTAAATGTTAGCATTATACTATAGGCTTGTCAATGAAAAATGACTCTTATTTCAATTTAAAAGGGTCTTTATTTTGGGTATGTGATAAATAGAATATTAAATTTGTGTAAGTTCATTACTAAATTTATTGCACTTGTTGAAGAAAATAATATTTTGCTCACCAGAGGCTCGCATAATATAATTTTATTCAAGTCATGCCATAAATTCAGTATTGAACTTACACTCATTCAATATCCTCTATTTATGCTTGCCAGACTCGCATAATATGATATTTTTCTAACGTGTTCAATAAATTTACCATTAAATCTACATTCATTCTATGTAGTTGTGTCAAAACAATTGTGAAAATTAAGTTATGTGAAAAGAAAATAAGAAATTGCTCCAATATTTTATATGTATATAGATGATTCATATTAAATTCTTAAACAATGACTGTGATAAAGAATTCCATTGTGTGAGTGTTTGTGTTATTATTTTTTTTAATTAATGTGAATTATATGTCATTTTTTGTATATTACTTTATAAAAACAATGATTAAATATTATCAAGATTTATGAAACATGGTTTTATCAATTTCTATACCTTTTTATTGTTTTCATTTATTCTGTGCCATACACAATGTATAATTTATATGGAATTCTGCCTGCTATATGAACAACTATATTAATATAGAAGTTGGTAGTGAAGAATCTTTGACTGATTGGTTATTGCATGCTGCCTTTGATTAATTTGTCTCATCAATACCGTCAGAGACTTTGATATACTTTTGTATAAGGAAGTATATTCCATTTAGATACAGAAAAGTTATTATATTATCCAGGTGTCACATGTAATAAACAAATACAGCTGGACATCTTCAGTCTAATTCTGTCAGTCAAGCTCGTCTGAAAGATATGATCATTTATTTTGGCAGCAATACCTTAATTTTATCCATGATGCATATAATGGTCTCATTGGCCTTCTGTGCATCAAAATAGTAAACATCACATATTTAGTATCATTCAGTGAATTACTGAATTCAAAATTTATAGGTCACCTTTTGAAAGATAACAACCTTTACAGGCATGCCATTTCTGGGGACCATACTCTCAGTGCCTGAAAGGGTGAATGGACACTCTTTAAGCCTAGAATACACAAACAATTATTCAGTGTGTCAAATCATGAAGTCACTTAACCATTTAATCAGTGTTGTCTTTACTTAAAAAAAGAACTTTATCAGCAAAAAAAGTTGATATTGGCTGCACTACTACCCCATAGAAGAAAAAAATTCTACTCTATTTGCTATTCAGTCACATATTTCATATTTTTTCCTAAAAATGATTAATATTTATATCCAGATTGCAAAAAATGGGCATGTCCATTTCAGATGTTTAAGATGGTAAGGGTTAAAATCTTTATAGGCATTTTTAATGGAAAGTATTTCTAGATACCCACATATAAGGAGTAACAATCAAACTCTAAAATTGAAGCAGAAGAACTGTATTGGTTAAAATTCACGAAAACAAGTTCAATTATGTTATTTTAAGAAAGTGATAAGCTTGATGTAATTTATACGTTCGAGGAATCTTTGATAAGTAGAATTTTAAAATTCTTTTCTGATCAAACATGTTCATAGACATCAGTGTTCACACCTGCTTCCTTGTAGCTAAGGTATGCACAGATTTTTATTCTTTCAGAGTTTGTATCTTTCTTTAACATTGAAAAGTTTCAGGTCTTGGCATTTTTTTCGTTTCTCTGTTTTTATCTGTGATAGCACTTTGTATGTTAATGTGTTTAGGAATTTATAACTTTAGAATATTATTAAGAGAGATTACTTTTATTGCTAGGTGCTTGCAGCCCATATAGGCATAGCTGTTTATCTTGTGATGGTTTTTAATGTCTGAAATTCATAATTATAATTTTGTAATAATCTTTTTTCCCCTATATATTTATTTAACAAAAATGCTTACATGTTTGATGTATCTTTACAAAACTATATGATAATCAGCTTCAAACAAACAGCCATATTAGCCAAATTTGTATTTGTAATCAATTTGTAAGGAAACAGACATTCCCTTGCCAAAGAGAACAGATAGTTTTTTCATGTTTTGAGGGTAAATTTCATGTTTAAAATGAACAGCAAGAGCCTCTCTGTAGTAAAATTATGCACTAGAATTTAGAAAAAGATTGTTTATGAAGATTTTATACCATATGAATATTTTCTTAATATTCTATGGAGTAACATTTTTTTTTTCAAATCAAAGTTTATTGAGTCCATTTGTGGAGGCAAGAAAAATAAAAACATAAAAGAGAGAAATGTTAGTTTTTGTAACTGAAGTATTTTTATTATTATTATTATTATCATTTGTTGCATTAAAAGCCTTGCATTAGAGGCCTTTCAGATTGTTACAAGTGTTAAAAAAACAATTTCTGACACCAATCTTTTACTTCAAAATGGCAAATGATTCATCTCAATGGCTAGACAGAGAAATATTAATTTTTGTCTTAAACAAATGCACAAATTAATTTGGTGGATAACTACATGTAGTAAGTGGAATTATTTAAATGAGCATGCTATGTACTGTTTGTTTTTATTACCTTGAACTTTCTAGGAATGGAGGTGTTTGCATACTTGGTTAAGATTTTGTATGCAGCTTCATTATTTAGTTCATACATGTACTTCATTTATGACAGGAAAGTATTTTAAAAACTTTACATGTCTTACAGATCAATATTGTAGGCCAATGACTAGAATGGAAGTTTTCTGAATTACACCCCGCAATGTACTTATATGAATTAATATTCCTGTTAAAATTGTCCCAGCAAATTCTATCCTTAAAACCACTTAAATAATACACTTGAATACTTCACATCATATTTGTAAGTACTCTCAACATGTATGTCATAGAATTATAGCATAGACTGTATGCATTATTCCCATTAATCAGAACAAAGAAAATTTCTCTTCTTTTTTAAATTTTTTTCAACAGATAAATGCGTTAAAACATGATTATTATTTTTTTTTTAGAAATGTATTAAGATGCCTTCATAATTATATGATTTTAATGCAAAGAATAAATAATATAAATGACAATGAAAAAATTGTGTTATATTTTAACTTTCAAGAACCAAAGGTCCATGGTGAGGTTTTTATGTAAAGACTGTGTTTTTCAATGGACCTCATGATCGCATAAAGGAAGATTTATCATTTAACATGACAAAGGTTAATTATTCAGATTCGTCTATTGCGAGAGGAAAAATTTGGAGCTATTATGATCGCCATTATCGTCATGCAAAACTTTCATGTAGCCCATTATTCAAAAATTTCAATGTTTTCATAACACTAAATTTGAAATACCTTCTTATCCTAAGGGGAGTTGTTATCAAAAGGGTTTAGTTCTGAAAGCTATATTTTTGGAGTTATTCCCCTTATTAACACTTTACCTCATATATACACTTTCACACACCCTCCCCCCCCCACACACACACACACCACTCTTT